ACAAACCGCGCGAGGGGGGGGGGGGGGGGGGGGGGGGGGCCTGGGGCCTACGGTGGCCCAACCCAATGTCAGTTTACCACATGGTCACGTGAGGTTTGTAAAAGAACAAGGACGGATCCAGACACCGGTGAAGGACGGGTTCTCCTGAACTCTACGACATCATGTGACAACGTGTCCAGTGAGGAGACATGGAGACGTGTCCTCAGCACAGCTGAAGTCCCTGTGTCCAAGCACCTTCGACATGGTGTCCTGGTTCTGAACTCAGAGCTCGGTACCATGGACTCTTGAAGAACTCTGAGACTTTAGCACCGGTCGTTGTGTTTACCCTGTTCAGGCGCTATGTCACCAGCAGAGGTCAGTCTTTCGTCCGCAGCGTTTCCTCCACCAGGGAGGCTGTGGTGATGATGTCACAGCTGGAACAACACTCACTGGTGTCCACGTCCACGTCCACTGAACCCTGATGAAGACGGTCCAACAGAGTGTGACGGTTCTCCAGGCAGCGTGGAGAACATTCCACGGAACGATCCATCGGTTCCTGCCGTTCATTCCCAGAATGCTGGGACACACGGATCCTTGACCCGAGACTGAAGCACCAGCGACTTTTTTTTACCCTGTAGAGGAAACCAAAGGTTCCCAGGAGAACATTCCCAGGAGAACATTCTAGAACATTTCCAGGAGAACATTCCCAGGAAGTGTCGAAGGATCAGCGATAACTGATGATTGTGTTTCCGTTTGTTAAAACTCGTAACATTTTCTGTTACATTTTCTCCAGCAGAGAAAGGATGCTGCTGCACTACCAACTAAAAAGTGTGGGGGCGCTCAAATATATTAGAACATATGTACAACATGATGGATGAGAACCCGACGTTCCAGGTTCCTTCACATCAGGACGTTATAAACATTTGAAATCTGGTGATTAAAAACAGGAAAATGTGTTCAGGGGTTTCACTTGACGGTGAAGGAACCCTGGACGGGACTAGAACCGATGACAAACAAGGCAACCAAAAAAAAAAAAAAAAAAAAGGCACGGTGGGAACCACACACCCACACCCACCCACAGTCTTGTGAGTACTCTACACCAACACACACCGGTCCTTATCCTTGAAGGCCCAGTGTATGAGAATTGGTGACACCTAGTGGTGAGACTGAAAGGTGCAACAAACGGAAAAAGACCATGTGACACCATTAGATGGAAATTCATAGTGCGACAGAACGGACCCTTCACTGTCCTCATGTCCCCTGGTCTGTCCTCATGTCCCCTGGTCTGTCCTCATGTCCCCTGGTCTGTATGTCCCCTGGTCTGTCCTCCTGGTCTGTCCTCATGTCCCCTGGTCTGTCCTCTCAGGACACTGTAGAACAAAGATGGCTGCCTCTGATGTGAGTTCAGTCCCAGGAGTCATCAGCTGAGGGCGGGGTCACTGGGGTCACTGGGGTCACACCCTGGATGGTTCAGTCCTCACGTACAGAGACGACCGTCCACACCTGAGCTCAGAGTCAGAGTGAACGGTTGACCTAGTCTCCATTTGACCCGCGGGAGAACGGGAGAACTCCTCCAACGGGAATCGAACTGGCGACCTTTTTGACGCGAGGCAAAGCATTGACCGGCATCCATCTTGTCCCCTGAGGGACACGTCAAAGGGTGAGTGTGGAAAGAGAAGGAGGGACAAAGAGGAGGACGGCCAGTGAAGGGTTAACAGAAAAATACACACCGCGACCTCTCGGGGTCAGGACTAGGGTCTCACTCACACACACACACACATGCACGCACACACATGCTCTGTCACATTCACAGGAGAACCAGTGAGAACGGAGGAAACCGACCCCTGAACTCGTCTGTTTCCTGATTGGTCTCCACACCAGCATGTGATCAACACCGAACCGACGAATCACGTCCAAAAGAACAAAAAGATTCCTTAGTTTTCTTCACCACGCACTAACATTTTTTTTTTTTTTTGCTGTACAAATTCTTTATACACAGTGCCCCCTACAGGTCGGTCCTTTCCACCGCTCCTGAGAAATAAAATGACAGCGGCTCACTCTCAGCACCGTTCCCTCTGTGGCTTCAGCGCTCCGCCGTCCGCCTCCCTCCTCTCGTCTGATTGGCTGCGTCATGTGTCCCCGCGGAGCAGGCTTGGCTCCGCCCCCGGTCCCGCCTCACGCCTCTGAATAGTTTGTCTGTCCGTTGATCTTGTCCTTCTTTAGTTTGACGCCGTCCACCAGCTCAAAGTTATAGTTTTCCAGTGCAGACAAGTTCCTGTCCGTCATGCTGCCCTGGGAGCAGGCGCAGTACAGCACCACACCACAGATGGCGCCCAGGAAGACGCCCAGTGCCGACATGGCAATGATGGTGATGAGGATGGGGTCCAGGGTCTTCAGCATGTTGCCCGGACCCCCGAGCTCACTGGTCTCCTGGGACAGGGAGTCCAAGGCTGCAGGTTGGAGACAGAGAAACGTGTTAAAGAACAAACAAGTCTGTCCCTCAGAGTGAGGACAGAAACTGCGCTCCTCTCAGACATGAGCAGACGATGGCCGATCTGTGGACATCTGGACACAGTCACAGACGGTGGAGTGCTTACGTAGGATGAAGATCCCAGTGGTCGGAGACGTCGGAGCTTCTGGATCTGGAATTGAAGAAGCAGCAGCTCAGAGAACGTGGAGAACAGAGACAGCGGGACCAGAGGACAGAGGACGGGTCAGAACCACTCACCTCTGCAGTCCTCGGCACCGAGTCCTTCCAGGATCTGGATGTTGTCCACAGCCATGTGACCTGAGCTCCGTCTGTCTGCTACACCTACGATCACCACCTGTCAATCAGGGAAACAGGTGAGAGCTGGAAGAAAACTGGGGATGTCGCCCTCTGGTGGGGAATGTAAAACAATGACTTTAAAAAAAAATTTTGAATATGAAATATGAGTTTGTTTCCGTGGTGACATCTGTCCATTTTCTCCAATTAAATTTTTTTTTTTTCCAAAAAAAGGAAGGTGTTTTTTTTATTAACATTTCTATATTTTTCATCAGTAAAGTTCTGACCTCTGAACCGGTCAAATATCACGTTGATGTGAATGTATTCATTCTTCTGACGTGAATGACTTCTCTGTTACCTGATAGGACGCTCCAGAGTGTGGCAGCCGGACACGCCCCTCCCTCCACCTCTTGTCCTTCTGTCCACTGACCATCCACAGGATCTGCTCCTCGTCCCCGTCCTTCCTCTGCCTGATGGTCAGCGACCCGGCGTGTTCTCCAAACATCTGGTACCAGAAGGACAAGCAGAGGTCGGCGTCGGTCACAGTGATGGGCAGACTGGACAGCATGGCCACCTTCTCCTCCTCCTCATCATCATCATCATCATCATCATCATCAATCCTTCCTCCTTGTCCCTTCTTGCTGTGTGTGCCCTCTTTCAGCTGCATGACCATGAAGTTCCCCAGTCGACCTGCAGGGGGCAGCAGGAGACAAAGTAAGAGTTGAGTCTTCAGCCACTCCAGAAACTGTAAGAAGACGCAGCTGCAGATCATCATCAGAACAGACGGAGGGAAGAGGGTCCGGTACCGGTGTGGTCGTAGCCCGGTCCTCTGTGGGTGGAGCCACCGTCCCTGGTCTGGATGACCCACTCGGCACCGACGCTGGTCTCCCTGGTCCAACCGCAGAATGAGGAGAACTCAAAGTTACAGGCGAACCACAGGTAGGCTGTGGAGAAGAACGAGAGAGAGAGAGAGAGCAGGTCAGACGAGGGAGGCTCTGACCTCTGACCCCTGACCTCTGACCTGAACCAAGATCCCAGCAGCTGACTAAACCTCTCCACACGATGCTTTACCCCCCCCCCCCCCACGCGTAACTTCTCTCACCTGGCATCAAGTCGATGACCGTCGTGGTGGTGCCTTCTGCTGCGGACAGATGGGAGAGGTCAGAGGTTAAAGGAGGACGGCCCCTCCCTCACAGAAACAGACCGCAGTAATTGATTAAAAAGAACCAGTTGTTAGTTATTTTAAACTGTGACAAAGGAGAGTGTGTGATCTTATTTTGACCGCGTTCAAATGTTCAAGTGATGTCAGTTATGACATCACTTCCTGTTGTCTAAGGGAATGGTAAATAAATAAAAAGTTTGTTGAACTGTTGACCCGCAGTAAAGGAAACACTCCTCCTCGTTTAGATAAAAAAATTTTAAAAAAATCTTGTGATTCTACCTGCATTTAATAACAGATGTACTGCCCCCTACTGGACAGACAGACTTCAGCTTCTGCTGCTCCTAAATGAAGTTGCTGAGGTAAACATCTGTCTGGTCGCCGCGTACCTGTGACCGCGTCGTAGTCGTCGGGCGCCTCGGTCTCCTCGGTCGCCTCACCGCAGCTCTGTTGACCGTCCTCACAGTCCGACACCGCGGTGGTCCCTGGAGCGGTG